CATGTTGAACTACAATGTTTCTACAGGAGACCAGAATGGACAAACCAAACTCTGGCTGTAGATAGGGCCTTTCTTTTTCTTTTCGCAAGTTTTATAACCAACCTAGTTTCTTCTTCACTCATGAAAGGCTAAGCTGTATTCAATTGGTTGGAATTTGAAACTTCACTGCTAGATGCCACTAAATCCTTCACACTGGACCCTTAAAGTGAGGTCAACTGAATTTGAGAAATTTAGCAACCTGGTAATATATCATATATATTATAATCTTAATCCAGTATTTTTATACTGATTAGATTGAACTTTTAGGCCAACAGAAATAAATCATGTGTAAGGAGTTAGTGTTTCCCCACCAGAATTGTATTCCTGGCAGTGTGGTGAAACACCTTTTAAACCTTCATGGTGAGTTTATAGAAAGCAGCTAACAGTAACAGTAATGGTAAACTGAAAAAAAGATCTAGAAAAAGTTCAATTCAAATAATTCATAAATGTATATTTTGGTGTCAGTACTGTGAAATATTTGCACTTATGAGCTCAATAGTTCTTAAATTCTGACTGCATGCTGAGGCCTGGTGAAGAGGTATTTCATCCCTCCCATTTTCCCTGCAGGACTTGAACGCACCGCTGGAGGAAGGTGGGAGTTCTTCTCCTACTTTAAAGAGGGTGTGTCTCTCCGAGAAATAGCCGTCAGTTTGTTGCTCCGCCAAAGTTTTTCCCCTTTCCTTCCTTTCCTTTTTGCGCAGAGTTGGCCGCAGCCCGACTCTTCTCCAAACTTCAGACCCTTCAGGTTATGTCGGAGAGGAGGTGAGAGGGTTTCTACAGGACTCTCTGTGAACGGATTTCCTGCGTTTGTCATAAAACACCAGTGGAGCCAATCGGGGACTTTGAGTTTCATTCATCATGGGGGACGTGATTTCCAGTCACCTGGATGAATCAAAGCGGGAGATAATCACAGGTGAGTAGCGGTTTGTGGAGGTGCGTGCTTGTTTTGGCACATGTGCGTTTTTACGCATCGGTCGCTGACTGAAAGATTCCACGAGTTAAAAGAAATGAGAATGGGAGTCATTTTTACCAAGATGTTAGTGTGACTGTGGCACTTCTTACTGCTCTTTACAGGCTATAGGGGGCTTTTATAAGCTTCTTTAATCACCTGTGCTATCAATATTGATATACTGTTGCTGTGAACGCGAGGTACTGAGGTTTTTAAAACACTGGGCCATGAGTCTGATTCCCCCCCTCCGTTCTGAAGAGACCTGAAAGCAGTCATTAAAAATACATTTAATTAGCATGTTTCCCTGTTTATTTCATCCATCTGTTCTCTGACTCTCTTTGTAAGGTTTTTTACGTTTTAAACAGTTGTATATCCCAGAGTTCCCCCTCTACGACTGCCCAAGAGCTTTTCATTGTTATTTTCTTGTGAGGTCATTTGCTGTATTGCTTCATTTTTATTGGCCTGAGTCTTTATCCTGAGTTCTTCAACTGTGTCACTTTCAGTAGTAGAAGTGTCTGGCACTATGTAACCATCCTCACTCTTTCACTTGTCGAACTAAGATAGAAAAGGAACCCTGAGAAGATAGAGGCTGCACCCTTATCAGCTCTTATAAATGAGCACTCGGCCTTGTTGTTTGGCCTGTCAGAACTTGCTGGGTTATAAGTGAAGTCAGATCTTGAGCAGAGCTGATTGTAGGTACAGTACAGTGTGTGCAGGAGGGAACATGAACTGCTAATCCTCACCGGGTATCAAAGGCAGTGGTCCAGATATGTCAGAACACGTGAACCTCTTTGTAATTGTGACTGATAAGTGTGGAACTAATGGGCTAAAAGCGGCTTGATTCATTTAACACAGGCAGCCAGGCTGTGACCAGCTGATGTTTCAGTTTTAAACTGAATCCTGGATGAATATATCAACAAATAGCTTACTCAACGGATAGTCATGAAATGGGAACTTAATGGTTTGCTGGTGCTATTGTGCCAACCGCACTATATAAACCTAACTAACTTACTTACCTAAACTAAAAGCTTTGAAGTGCTGTTATGTGTGCACTGTACCTGCTGGGAGTGTAGATACAACAACATACACATACAATGCACAGAGAGGAACTGGGGATCAACTGGTGCCCAAAGCTAAATTTTGCCCTGGGGCCTGAGGAGTTGATCTGACCCCGCCCAGGCCCACACACTGTACAATTCTGGATTCAAACTTTTTCAAAACCACATGGGCAAATTATTACATTATCCAATTTTAACAGATGGCTGGTTGGGCTTCCTGGTCTGGACCTTGATTTCTTCATTAAGTGTTAGAAAACATGCAGCTGACTACCTGGCAGGAAAAGTGAAAAAGAGAAAGCTATGTTACACAGGCCAAGCATCATCTTTTGTCTTTATTTTTTTCTTTAATGCCCCGAGTCTCCAATTGAGAGTGAGGCACACGCACATGTATCAGATGTGGAATCCGAGGAATGCATGAAAAAGCATGTCTGTGTGTGTGTCTATGTGGCTGGATGGAAACCTCCTTCAGGCCTTGAGCTCGCACAGCGAGCGCCACGCAGTCTCTGCAGCCAAGACGAGACCAGTGCTTGGCTGGCTTCAAGGGAAGTGCCTGGATTTATCATTAACGCACTCCACACTCACATATTCACTCATTTCACTCATTCCTAAAGTGTTCAGAAGGCGATAAAGCCCTCTGCCAACGATCAGATTGGTAGAATACATTTTCTATGACTCCTTTATCATGTTCATAGATAGCTTCATTACTCAGTGCCATTGTACTGAGGTGATGATTAATGAATGGGCTGCATCTCTCTGTTGTCATCTTGCTGTTAGGAAAGCCTTGCCTTGATTGCTGATAAGAATTACTGTGGGAGTCCCAGAGCCAAGTGAGTCATGTGTAACCAGCCAGCAGCGTGTTCGACTTCCCTCATAACGTCCAGCATGAGGTCAGCTTTGGAGGGAGATGTGGGGGTGTGTGTAGAAATGACTGAGATCACATGGCTAACCTCTCATTTCCTCTTTTGGAAACTGGCATCAGTGCATGGTGTGTCCTCACAGTCTGGATATTGCATTTGCACATAAACATAGCAGCTTGGTTGTTAGAAAAACTGTAACCTGAACATAGTGAATCGTATAAAAAAGGTGGACTGGTAAAATGGTCAAATATTAGAGAATAGTGCATCATTTACATTTAACATTAGTTTAGATTTCAAAAGTACTAAATGAGAAAATAATTAAATATAATAATGAGAAAGTAGTCATCGTTTGACTATAGCTGCAATGAGTAGTCGACAAATTGATTGATAGAAAAATAATGCTGGCTGGTGACCAAAAATTCTTATCACATTATTTTTTAAGATTCTGGCAGTTTCACGGTATATTTGTTTTTTGGGTTGTTCTTTTGCATGACTGGGACTTACAGTGGCTTAGTCTACTGTCATGATTACATAGAATATAGAACATACCATCATGTATACTGAGGGCTTTGATTACTATAGGACTCCGAAAAATGATACAATATATGAAGGAATGCATGAAACTGTTGCAGAATGTAAGCACTTTTTAATTGTTGAAAATGTATTCAAATAGATATTTATGAAATATTCTGTTGCACAAGAAACAAAGGAGTTACAGTTGTTTCATCCATGCAACGGTATGGCAGTCTTACAGTTAATCGCTAAAGCAATTTTTCATGCAAAAATGGCAGAACATGCTGTTTTAAGCCTCTCAAATAAGGAGATTTTCAAATTTTCTCATGTTTATATCAGATTAAATTGTTAATCTGTGGGTTCTGGACTGACAAAACAAGACATTTAAAGACATCGCCTCAGACTTTGAGAAACCGGCAAACATTTGCTCTGAGCAACCGCATTAAGTTTTTTTTTTGTAAAAGCTGACAGGGGACCACAAACATAAGTTAATTGTGTTTTAGGTAAATTATACATTACATTTTCATCTTAATTATGAAACACAATAATACACTACAAATATACAGGAGGCAGTTACTGTCCTTCCAACAGAGTGCAGTACACTGACTAGCTGCTGCTACAACTAGTCAGTGTACTGCAGAAACTAATGTTATTGGTTGGGGATGGTGTGTAAGTTTTAGAGGTACCCACAAAAGGAACAAACAATGTTGCAAGTATATGTGCTCCAGTCATTACAGACGAGGATTTAATTTCTCTTTTCTAATGAAGATCACAACAACACACATCTAATTCCCCACTTTCACACAGAGAGTACCTTTATGTAGTCATACATAGGGCAGGGCAGGCTTGGTCAGTGGCTGAGGGGCCAGGAAACAGGAAATCCTAACACACAGTGTTTTTTTTCTCTGGCTCTGTTAAATCTTCAGTCTCTGAAGTGAGTGGTAGGGGGGCAACAGGCTGGTTCTCTGTGGCCAGCGAGGTGTGGGACTTTCACTTTCGGCACACACCCTGCTGAGCACAGAGAGGCTTGTTACAAACAGGTTCAGATAGTGGAAATACCTGCTGCTCGGACCCCAGAGTGCATACACATACTCTACTGTTGGAGGCAGAACAGGTCTGAAGGTAGAAATGATCTCATGAGGTAAGCTTCAACAGTGTGTTGAGGTTACATCACAGTAAAAGGGGGTAGGGTAGTTAGCTTCATGAAACCTAGCTTGATACCTCAAAATACAAACTAGTTTAACAAATCTTTCAAGTTAACTAAACTAGCCTAACTATTAAGTTGAATTAGCCAGCCATCTGACTCTTCAAGATAATGAAATAAAAAATAAAAAAAGTTTTTTTCCTGCACAGGAAATTTCAGACTGCTGTTAAAAAAAGCTGGATTTAAAAATCAGTTAACATTGTATTTTGACAATATGGTATTGTCTGTGAATGTTGTTACAGCCGGGTAAATGGTGCACAGTTTTTCCTGAATAGGGAATGTAGTGGTGGGCACTGAAGGGCTGTTTGAAGCTGCATTCATTTTTTTTTTTTTTGCACACTTGGGAGAAACAGTTGCTTTTTTTACACACCTAGTAGACACACACATATTTCTGTCGACCTGATGTCCAGTATTCACTCCCCAGTTATGTTTTCATTTCCACTCCTGAGAAGAAGAAAAAAAAGTCTCTTTAGCTGTTAAATTCTCCACTGTGTTCACCAGTGAGTCTCTAACTTTGGTGTTGAGCCGGTAGTGTACAGTGGATTTATCAGAGCTTCTTTTTTTAACTGAAAACAGCTGCCTGCTGGTGCTAGAACCCACAGGATTGGGAATTTGCAGGCAGCAAAACCAAAATAATTTGCTAAACAAGGCTTAAAAAAAAAGTATAGTAGAGCCAAGGCAGACTGGAATGATCATTCCTGGAATATCTAAGTCATCCCAGGTCAATCTCCACACATTCACAACAGACCACGTAACATAAATTACTGCAGAAAACATTCAAAATAGTCAATGAAGTGTTTTCAGTTTGAAGAGATAGTAAACTGCACTTAAGGCATCAAAATGTTTTATTCATGTAGATCATGTTTGATTTGCACCTTGCAAGAGCTCTGACTGGACTTGTGTTTCTTATTATGTAGCTCTGGGTAACAGAAAGGATACATGTATTTACAATGTTATTTCCATGCATCCCCTGCTCTCCTTATTGTTGCTGCCCTTTATTGGTTTTATTCTAACACAATCAACTCAGGAAGAACAGTTGTGATGAGGGTGGTCTGTAGAGGGTCTGTCTGTGTTTGGCATCAGTGCATCTTTTTTTTTTTTTTTGTCTTGCATCACATACTGCACTAACAGTGAACTGAGCCAGGAAAAAGCCGGAGCAGAGCACTGAAGTTTCCCTGTTGGCCAACGTGAACTCTGAAAAACTGCTCCAGAGAGAAACTGAAGTGACCTAAAGCTCCTGCTCTGCCTCTAATTACCTTGGTAAACACGTTTAAATGGAACTAAATCTGCTTTCATTTGGTGCCCCAGATCCTTGCACAAGCATAGCCGCTG